CAGAAAAGGGATTTTAGGGAACTTAAGAAATAGGAGGTATCATGAGACAGTTTAATCAGCCACCTATGAAAACATCACCAGGGCCCTAAAAACAAATCTGGTCGAGCCTCTCATCTGTCCACTCCCTTTCCAGAAAACATGCTACACCAGAATGACAGACATAACGGATGCTTTATATTGGCCCGGGCACATGTGTTCTTTCAGATCAGGGAGATGTGACTAGGAAGATTATTTTAGTAGTTTCAGCCAGGTCAGAAACTCTGACTTGTGAGTCACCTTCTTGCCATAAAGTTGGGCTCCCAAGTCTGTATGTTTCAAAGTACTTCAGTGAATCATGAGAGCCTCCACCTTCTCACGTGCTTGACAAACAAGGTTTCAGCCTTTGCTTGAATACATCCAGTACCTGGGCGAAAGGGCTTTTTAAAACGACAACAACAACAACAACTTTATTTTAGAATAATTTTAGATTTAAATTACACAGTTCCCTTACGCCCCTAAGCCGGTCTCCTCTAATAATAGCATCTTATGTAACCTTGGTACACTTACCACCATGAAGGAAAGGACATGGATACATTGCTATCAGCCAAACTATAGACTTTGTTCAGATTTTACCAGTTTCCCCACTAATCCTTTTTCTGACCCAACATCCCATCTAGGATACCCCATGCATTTGGCTGGGCATCTTATTTTTTTCCTTTCCTTTTCTTTTCTTTTCTTTTCTTTTCTCTTCTCTCTTTTTTAAACATAACAAACATTTCTGATCTTACACAGTTTCTGGGAATATCACAGCCTGGTTGTTCTGGTTTGGGTTCCAGTCTGTGAGGTTCGCCATCAAGCTCAGCTGGGGCTGCAGTCATCTGAAGGCTTGACTGGGGTGGGAGAATCAGTGTGCTGGCCCACTCACGTGGCTGCTGGCTGGAGACTCCAGTTCCTCACCACATAACCCTTTGCATAGGGCTGCTCATGGCGTGGCTTCCCCCAGAGTGAGGGATGCAAGACAGAAAGAGCAGCTGAGATGGAAGCCACAGTGAGCGGTGCTTTTTTTTAAATTAATTAATTAATTAATTAATTAATTTATTTTTGTGAGGCAGCTTATTCCATTGCTGAACAGCTCCATTTGCTGAGAAAACAGTCTTCCTATAATTTCCTTGGCCAGTGGAGGGCTGGCCAGGAAGTCTCTCCATCCACCATGTTTAGTCCTCTAAAAAAAAAAAAAAAAATAGAACTAGTGTCCCCTGAGTCTTCCCTGCATGCTAAAGACACGTTCATACATCCATTCAGACAACTGTTCACCATCAAATGCTGCTCCGCACCTGATCTAAATGAGGACAAAATGCTTCATGCAGAGAAGTAGAAGGCTGTTTATTCAAAGAACCTGCTCTATTCCCCTACCTGTAGACAGGAATCTGGTAGAAAGATAGCCAAAGACAGACTCACATTGCTTCCTAAATTTAAAGAAATTGTTATTCAACTGGATACGTAAAAGCTCAACAATTTGTAAACATTTTTATATTGTTCTACCTAAAATAGAAACTGAGATTGGGTATGGATCGAGCATTGTGAGAAGTGGGAAAATGTGACTCTTCGGGAGCTGGGCGTCACATGGTTTGAGCCCATAGCTGTCCTCTAGGTGGAGTTATGCACAGACCAGGGCTTCTCAACCAGAGTGATTTTGTCCCCGTGGGACATTTGGTGATGTCCAGAGACATTATTGGTTGTCACAACAGGGACTGGGTGGGCTCTCTGGCATCTAGGAAATTGAGGGATGCTGCTAGATACCGTACCGTGCACAGGACAGTTCCTCACAGCAAAGAGTTATCCAGCCCCCAATGTCGCTAGACCCAAGTCTAGAGGTTGGATGCAGTCTCTAAAGGGCCACTTCCCATTCCGCCACCAAGTGTCTCTTTTATAGCATTTGCCCCTCGCTTTTTAACTGAGCTCCCCTCACTGCCTGTGAATTCCTTCAGTTTGCGTTCTCTGAGAGTCTTTGTTTCTGGTCCAAGTCAATAGTGAGGCAGCTGTGGTTGAGAAAAGTAAGGGAGGCGGTGTTAAAGGGCATTCCTTCAAACTTCTCTCAGCAGGAATTTTCTGAAGATTGGAAACAAGCTAGAACCTTCCTCTGAGGCTAGGATGGAGGTGCAAACTCCAGGACTTGCCAGGTGTGCAGTGGACCGGGGTTAGGTATCCATGCTGGCCTGGGGTGAGTGTGAGGACGGTCTCATTAAGTGAAAAAGACAATGTTTGTATTTGTTGTAAATAGCTAAGCATTTTTTAAATTGTAGGTCACTATTCACAAAGATCACAAAGATATTGTCTCGAATCTTGGAGTTTGAAGTACATATTATCCTTGTGGGACTATGTGAACTCTCATTGGTGGGAATACAAATGAGTGAAACTACTTGGAAACTGTTCGATGTTACCTAGTAGAGCCTGAGGTTCTGTACATGCCGGCCTGACAACGCAGCTTGTACGTATCTACCCTAGAACAGTGGTTCTTAGATTTCAGTGGGAACCAGAGTCCCCTGGAGGATTGGTGAAAGCACACGTTGCTGGGCCCCACCCCAGAGTTCCTGAGTCAGTAGTTTTGGGGAGGGACCGTAGAATTTGCAGCTCTAACGAGTTCCCAGGCAGTACCAATGTCGGTGGTCGCAGAGCCACATTCCAAGAACCATTATCTGAGAGAGGGTCTTGGACATGTACATAGCAAGACATGAGCAATATTTTTCAAGAACATTGGTCCTGATAGTCTCAAGCTAGAAACAACTCAAATTTCTAATGAGCCATGGTATATTCGTACCAGAAAGCAAATTATAGTCATCAGAACGAGTGACCTACAGCTACCTGCCTCAACAAGATGAATTTCCGAAGTGTTGATGAATGGCGTAAATGAGGCAGGCGAGAATACCTACAGTGTGATTCCATCTGTGGGAAAAACAAACTGTATTCTTTATAAACGTAGACAGTAAAACTACAAAGAAAAGCAGATGGTTGATTATTGCAAAACTCAGACCAGTGATTACCTGGGGGGAGAGGGAGGAAGACACACAGGGGGCTTGGGCACGAGCAGTAGTCTACCTCTGAACTTGGCTGTTGGTGATGTGGGAGTTGGCCTCCTGTTATTTCTTTGAACTGTACATTTGTAGTTATACACATCTTTATATATGCTACATCTTCCACTTAAAAAGAAGTTAAAAAAAAAAATCCTTCTGTCTTTAAATAAAATGTCCCCTATCCTATCTGTGTCCGGTTCTTTGGCAACTTGCTTGAATTTTAGGATCTGTCCACTGGTTATGAAAACTTAAAACTTAAGTCTCCTAAGCTATACTATATAGTTTAGTTATTCTTCTGGGTCAACAGTTAAAATGAAGGAATGATAGAATGTTGTTAAAGAAATATACCCTTGTTACAGTCAAATACATTTGGTGGTGTGAAGTGACGAACAAAGTGTTACAAAGTAAAAGGCCTGTCTGTTTGGAGAATGGATTTGAGTCTTGTGTTGTTAGTATGTTTATTGTCGTACATTTTATAGTAAGTTATGGTAGGCCATATAATTACTCATCTTCTAGACACTGGAGATAAGAACATACCCCTAATGACAGAGATGGCTGGCTCTTCATTGCATTACAAGTGATTTACTTAATGTCCCCCTACACATATCTCACAACTGCAAGGATGCAGACTCTTATGCACTATGTCCATTTTGTGGGAGGAGAATCATTCTTGCAATATTTCTTTGCTTTTTCGAAGAGGGGGGGATTGAATGCATCTGTTGATTATACTGTGATGTCTTTTGCCTCCAAAAATCCAGACAGAAGGAGTTGGGAACATCTGCAGCCCCGGACGGATCCCAGGAGAATGCTCATTTCTGGTTAAGAATGTGCATGCTGTCTTTTCCTGATATCAGAGTCTGGCTTTTAAATTTTATTGGGCTGAGTCTCTTTCTGGACTACACTTTTGAGTGTATCCTGTAAAAAACAAACAATTCTTAATCCTCCTTTTAAACCTAAGTTTCCTTGCGGCACGGGCTGCATTTGCCCTACTTGATCACCGTGCGGATTCCCGATTCGCGCCTCCCACACGTTAAGTTGATGGTTGCGTAATCGTGAAATGCATCCTTGCCATGATGACTGGCAACTTTTTCTGATGACATCCCAGGAATTTGATTGCAGCTACCTACTGATATGAGTGGAATCTTTATTATTTGGAGAGTTAGCCAGACGTGCTAAGTACGTTTGTTGCAAACACAAGATGCCAAAAGGGTATCTGCCTTATTTATGATAGTGAAAACTTAGAAATGACCCAAATGCCCATTGGTGGAGGAATGGTTAATGAAATTATGGTACAGCCACACGGTGCAATACTATGAGACCTCCTGAGAAAGTAGATCTGAATTTATGCACATGTGTCAGGGGCCCCATGAGGCACTTGGTGTGCACCATCTCATTAAATCTCCCAACAACCCCATGAGATTCCCATTTTATAGATGCGGACACTGAGACTTGTCCCAAGTCACACAGTTAGTAAATGGTGCAGCAATAATTAGATCTGACTTCTCTAGACCCCCAAATTCATTTCCTTATCCAGTTACACTCTACCAGCTTATAAACGTCAAAACCATATGTACTGTTGACTCTCCTCTCGCGGAGATTTGATTCAATATGACATTGGTTTGCATAAACATGAAAAATAGGAAGAGACTCATGTAATAGCAACAGCAAACATATCTAAGTGTCAACGCTAAATTAATTCTGAAGGAGGTAAGTTTCCTGTACTTTTCATGATTGAAACAAAATTTAAGAGCATACATCAAGGTTCTCGTTGCATGTACTGTCCAGGTCAGGGATTTCCGTGTATTTTCAGAGCCTTTGTTCTGCCTAAAATGCCAAATTATGAGTGAAGTAAGTGAGAAGTCATGCTTTTGCTCAAATGTAGCTGTTGATGGTATAAGATATCACGTGTATGCTTGTGTTTACAACTTTTCATTCTTTTAATATTTGCAGATGGACAGAAGAGAAAGAAATCTTTGCGAAAGAAACTGGATTCACTAGGAAAGGAGAAAAACAAAGACAGAGGTAAGGGACAGAATGAACTAGAGCGGATGCATCTTCCATGGAGCATAATGGTTGAATTTGGTGGGGTTTTTGAATTGCATAGATTTATGCGGTTCATCTCTATTATGCAAACTGGATTTCTACGATGGAATGTCATTAAAGCCTGTTTTGGTCTACTCTTTTGTGTTTGAGTGGCCCTGTACTGAATTGATGAATTCAACTGTTTTGAGCAAAGTGTGACTTTGGCCAAGTTTATGGTTCCAATTATGATGCTGGCCAATTGGCCAATCAGCAACGCATAAGAAGAACCTGGGTTGAGTAGCCATGGACAGCATCTCTAACGCTAACCAGCTGTCTGGCAAGGCCAGATCGTTAGGCAGGGCTAGTTGAATGAGAAAAAGTTTGGATTCGCCTGCCATGACTACTGGAAAGAAACAGTCTCATCCTCATGGGCTACTGGAGATGGGCCATTCTCAGCATTTTTATGTCAGATCACAGCATGCTTATTTTTTGCCCTATATGTTTTGGGAATTGTTGACTCTCTCCATACTGTTTTGTGTCCTCTTCTATGTCTATTTAGGGAACTGACACATTAGCCACTCTTTCAGAGGTATTTGTGGTCATTTTTAACTAATATTCATTGAGCCTGCAAATGGGCACCTGGGCCCCATTAGCGCAGTACAACTCTCTGTGGCTTGTTTGTATGGTCCCATATGAAATGACTGCTGAATGGTGTGGTTGTATGAATGTATTTCCATTTTATGTGACATAATGAATGAGTGTTGAGTGAGGAGAGCCATATGTCTCACCTTGGAGTTCTTTTCTATAATGATTGAATTTCTGCTTGAAAAATAATGGAAGGCAATAAAACCAAAGGTATAAAAATAAATGCACTGTGGTCAGTAGTGGACAAGACCTAGTCCACACCATTGATCCCAGACTCTACACCCATGTCATGAACTTGACTAAAGTGTCATGACATTTGGTTCTTTGGACTGAAAGGAGATAATTCTATTTTTTTAAATATTTTATTTATTTATTTGACAGAGAGATACACAGCGACAGCGGGGACACAAGCAGGGGGAGTGGGAGAGGGAGAAGCAGGCTTCCCGCCGAGCAGGGAGCCCGATGCGGGGCTTGATCCCAGGACCCTGGGATCATGACCTGAGCCGAAAGCAGACACTCAATGACTGAGCCACCCAGGCGCCCTTGAGATAAAGAATTCTAAAGAGTGGGGAGCCAACGTTTTACTTCCCTTAGAGCATGATTTCTCAACCTGGGTCTGTTGACATTTTAGACTGGATAATTCTTTTTTATTTTATTTTTTAAAAATTTTATTTATTTATTTGACAGAGAGGGGCAGAACACAAGCAGGGGGAATGGGGGAGGGAGAAGCAGGCTCCCCGATGAGCAGGGAGCCCAATACGGGGCTCGATCCCAGGACCCTGGGACCATGACCCGAGCCAAAGGCAGACGCTTAACAACTGAGCCACTCAGGTGCCCCTGGATAATTCTTAAAAAAAAAAGGGGGGGGGGCACCTGGGTGGCTCAGTCGGTTAAGCGTCTGCCTTCGGCTCAGGTCATGATCCCAGGGTCCTGGGATCGAGCCCCGCATTGGGCTCCCCGCTCCGCGGGAAGCCTGCTTCTCCCTCTCCCACTCCCCCTACTTGTGTTCCCTCTCTCGCTGTGTCTCTCTCTGTCAAATAAATAAATAAAATCTTTAAAAAAAAAAAAAAGATTTATGTATTCATTAGAGAGACATAGACAGAGAGAATGAGTGGGAAGGGGGCAGAGGGAGAGGGAGAGAAAATCCTCAAGCGGACTCCCCACCGAGCACAGAGCCCCACGTGGGGCTCCATTCCAGGACCCCGAGATCATGACCTGAGCCGAAATCAAGAGTCGGCCGCTTAACCGACTGAGCCGCCCAGGCACCCTCAGACTGGATAATTCTTTGTTACGGAGGCTGTCCTGTTCATCGTGTGACATGTTTAGTGGCATCTCTGGCCCAGTAGCACCGCCCCCAGCCAGAATATCTCCAGACATTTCGAATGTTTACCTCAGACTGGAGAAAGGAGTTGAGAATGGAAATGATCCCTGCCTCTCACTGCACAGTTAGAGTAAGTTGTAGAACCTTTAAAATTCCCAGTGCCCAGACCCCCCAACCCCGAAAGTGTGATGCCATTGGTCTGTATGGGGTACTGGAGGTGAGTAGTTTTCTGAAGTACTGATGTGCAGCTTCTGAGATGAGAACTTGGTCCATATTAGCCAATGTCCTCACCAGCAGGGCACATCCTGTCACAGCCGAATTCCATGCTGGAATAATCAAGGCAAGGGGCATTAAGTCTTTTTTTTTTTTAATTTAAAAAAAATTTTTTTATTAACAAATAATGTATTATTTGTTTCAGGGGTATAACTCTTGTCCAGCTACCTATCACTGTCTGATAAATTGTATTCTATTTAATCGGTCCGTATGTTCTTACCCTTCTTTTTAAGTGAATATTAGTAACCAGGGTAGCTTTTTTAAACTAGAGTCTTACTCATTCTATTCCTGCCATCCATCACCTTTACCTCACTAGATTAGAGAAATTCTTAGTGTTTATAGAGAGTATTAAAGGGGACACTCAGACTGGCATTAGTAATGTGTATCTTTAAAGTTGGTTTACTCTAGGATGATGATACTGATCTGAGGACTGAATCCTTATAATGGAGACTTTCAGCGATTCTTCAGAATTGCCCGTTCAGGCTAGACGAAACAGAATGACCATTTTTGCAGGAGATGATTGAGTTCCCTCAGCAGAGAGAGATGGATGTGTGCTTGCTCAGGTTACAGAACAACAGGAAGCAAGGATGTGAATGAGCAGAAAAGGAAGGCCAGGGGATGTCATTGACCAATGTGTCCTGGGCTATTATACACTTTTCGGACCATATCGTATTTACATCTGACATAAGCTCAGGGAGAACCTGGCAGTGTTCTATAAGGCTGTACACGTTGCTGGCTGGGAAAAAGGAAGACAGGTTCTGGTGGTCCAGAGAAAAGACACATGGCCCATCCAACTAAATTAGAGAAAAATATCAGGCTTCATGGCAAAAGAGGGTTTTTTTAATTCCTCTTTTAAAGAAGCTCTGATATTTAAAAAGAAGATGTCCTGGGCTTAAGTGAAGCTTAATTACCTGGCACATCTTCTGAACAGAAAGTCCTGTCTATGTGCACACATCCATTACGTGGCCGCCCTGGCAAGCAGGGCAGGAGGGGCCAGCATGCGGGTCTTGCTGAGTCGTAATGGTTCACATTATTTTCTTCCATTTGAATATTAACACTGGGGTTCCTAACAGCTGCACATGTGGAAAATGATAATCATTGGAGTCCAAAAGTAAAAGAAGGAAAACAGGAAGCTCTCAGTGACCTCTTGGGTTAGGTCATCTAAAAATAAATAGGAGCAGCTTTTTAGAACCCAATTGCTCTCCCAATAAAGAGTGATTCATTAAGTGTTTGATATGCTGTTGGATTAATTGATTCAATCAGAGTGAATCATGTCCTGTATTTTATTTAATTGCCTTGACATCAAACACGGCAGATCATGTGACACTCCTGTGTCCCTCCTGCCACTTCAGCCAGTGCCCATACGACTCTTGAATTCCATATGGAAACGAATTCAAGATGGAGGCTGGGTGGGAAAACATATTTTCATCCAGAAGAGTTCCAAGTCCTTAATTTCTCTTAGTTAAATTACTTGGCAACCAAAAAAACAGTTTTTAAACTTTCAGAACTTCAGCAAATTTCTTTCGTGGGTCAAAAAGAAATCACTTGTGGGGAAAAGATTTTCAAATAGCTGCTTTGTTCCAGTTCATGTGGTTCCTGGTCAGAGCACAGGGGGGCATAGGTTTTACTGTGGCATACGTCTGGGAGATAGGTCCCCGCTTCACAGGGTATTTCAGACTACGCCGTATATTTATTGACATGAAATCTGGGGATAATTCGGGTCTGGCACCGTTCTTTAGGCTGAAATAGTATCATGCCATGCCTTATTGTTCCTCAGTGTCCGAGTATGTTCCTACACGCCAGGTATGATGTAGCACTCGATAGGAATAGTTGATACAACTTTACTTTGCATCATAATAAATAGCAGTAATAAAATCAAGTATCAGCTATCACTAGGTAGACATTCTCAAGGAGAATGTATCGAATGCTGTCTTTGAGTGCTGTTACTGGAAAGGAGAGAGCCCGGGGGAGCGTGATCCCGGGAGAGAATAGGAAGGGGCCACCTCACACAGGGCTGTGTGCGCCCCGCATGGTGTTTGGTCTGCATGCTGAGAACATTGAGACACCATCAAGGTGCATTAAGGAGGGAGAGTAAGACAAGAGTGGGGGGAGGAAGCCTGATTCTCGAGGTGGAATCCCTTTTGGGGAGGACAAGGCTCCAGGATGGGACCAAGGGAGTGAGTGGAAAAGGTGGCATGCAGGAAAAAAGAGGAGAGGAGACGGTCAAGGAGATGGGAGGATGGAGAATGAGATGGGCCTTTAGGTAGACATGCAAGCCTCCAAGTGTGACGGTAGCTTGGGGGTCTGACCACGGGTCAGTCAGTGCCAAGAGAAGACAGCAATGGGCAGGAGACAAGAGAAACCTTGTGATGGCGGGTTTCTGCCACACAGTGGGAAGGTGCAGCTCTGGAAGTGGCGGTAGGGAGCCCGAGGATGGCATGCCACCTCCTGGCCCCACAGTTCATGGGCTGGGAGAGCACACACTTGCTACTAATGAGCACAGCAGGGGAAGCAGTCTCCTTGGTGAACACATACTGTAGATTAGAACATGATACACCCTGTGCCTGGCCCCAGAACACTGAGCCTTGGGAAATGTCCATCTGGTTTTAAAAACCTATTATCAACTGTATTCGCCCTATCAACACAGAGTCTCCAGGGTTTTTTCCCCCAAGAGAAGAGCTTTGAATCCACAGATAAGCATGTGTGCCCAACATTTTATTTACACATGAGGAGGGTTTTGCTAAATAGACTTGTGATGAGTTCTCCATTTCACAATAGCCACATTTTGAGAAGCAGTCATATTCAAGGAATCCTGCCTAGAATTTTCCAGAGTCTAGACACCGCAACACAAGTTTAGGGCATAGAGAGGCCTCCTTTCTGAAGCCTGTAAAGGTTCTCAAGAGAAAGCAACAAGAAACAAGAGACCACATCAAAACTCTATCACTGAAAGAATAAATAAACTCCACCAGGAAAGAAAGACTATTAGGGAAAAATAAAAATCTGTTAGCAGGTCATCTCTTGAGTGAGAGTCAAAGAGAAAGAAAAACTGGGAAGAATGACTTCATGTATCCCATCTGTTTAATTTGTGTTCCGTTATTCCAATTTGCAAGGAAAGTGGCAGACTTTGGGACACTGAAAATGACAGATACCAAAGGGAACCAGTTTTCTTTTTTTTTCTAGGGATATTAGAAACTCTAAATGAGTCCGATTGCTTTTCCTTACGTGGCAAAACTGGCTAAGAGAGGAGTCAGTAGTCCCCATCTCCTACGAAATCCCTGCAGAGAGCGTGCCTAAGTGAACAGACACGTGCCGCTCGATACATTTATTGCTGTCCTTTCTGCTGTTGTTATCCCCCCCCCCGCCCACGGTTTTTGTGTATTCCCCATAGCTGTCAGCCTTGGCATCTGCAGGTCTCTAGACTCGCCGCGAGTTTTCTGAAGCAAGACTCTTTGATTATTCCCATAGACAAGACAGTGCTGATTTACACCATACACCCCAGGGTGCATGGCTCGCGGTCTGGTATTCTAACTGTGCTAGTAGTGAAGATGGCCTTCTGTCAATAGGGGGTCTTGGGTCTTGCTACGCTGGCCACATTGATCGCTCAAAAACATGCCAAAAGTTTTGTTTGTATTACTATCGTATGCCACCTAGTTTGTCGATCGAGAATGATAAGCATCCTCCGAAAATCCCAAAATGCTGACGTTTTGATTTTTCGCTTCAAAACAGACTGCATGTTTTGATGGAACCAAAGGTGCAGGCTTCTTAAATGCCATTTCTGCTTTTAATGTAGACTTGGCCATCAGCCCAGTGATGTTAAAATGTTGCCATGGATCAAGGAAGAAAGCCTTTTAAAGCCTCTTTCCACCTGACTTAAAGTTAGCCTTTTCTTTCAAAGAACAAACAACCCTTGGAATTGTTTTCCCTTGATCATTCTGGTTTTATTCATAGGGGTTATAAAAACAAGGGAGAGGCTAGACTCCCATATTCTGCTGCTAGGAGATGTAATTTTGAGTCTAAAAGAAATAATGCATTTAATCTAATTATGAATGCTTTTCAGCATAAATCTAAAATAGTGCCCCAAAGATGCCTGGCCCTAAGGGTCAGTGTGCTTACCATGTAGGTGCATACATATGGATCAGCGATTCAGAAAGCAACTGTGTGTCCATCTCCAAATAAAGAGGTAGATCTCTGCACTGTGCTCCTTGCCCCAAATTGTCCTTACTAGGGGATTTAACACATTGTATCTTGGGCCCTTCACTGGTTATTTAGTGGTGAGAGTCTACTTCTACATGGGCCGGCAGAATGGCTTGAGTATAGATCTTGAGAGCAACATCCCCAGCCCAGCAACTGGAGGCAGCCTGTGGGGGACAAGGAACACGGGGCGGGGGGGGGGAGCAGACTCCCCCCGAGCTGCTCCCCTGCCTCTCGGGTCCTCACTCACATACTGGCTCTTTTACTGGGCACCCCAAAGTGGATCCACTTAACTGAACTTAGGTCTTTGCTCCAGGCATCTCCCCGTTGTAACACCCGACAGCCACCTGTGTAATTATTTACCTATCTGACTCCCACTCCCCCACCCGCCCCTTACTCCGGACCTTTCAAGAGCGAGCACTACGCCTCTTGTAAGCTTTGTACTCCCATCGTGGTAGCTGTTCAGTGAGTCCCTGTGGAATAAACGGATGCACGCAGCCTTCTCACGCCTTGTAAGTTCTGGGGGCTCTCGAGACACATACCTCAAAGGCTAACAGTTTATAAAATTGTGTCCTCGTGAGGATGAAGCATTGTGTACAGTCTATCAAAAATGTCACATTTATCCATAAAGTTATTTCCTTTAAAACATACTTGAGATATGTGGGGGAAAAAACGAGAGGCCTAGATTTCTAAAAACCCACGTTCTTTGTACATACCGGCCTCCTTGATAGAAATAGAAACTTTGGCCACTCTGATACACACAGAAATCATCCCTGTATTTTGATTGAAGAATCAATTCTTCAGGAAACGGTCATTTGACTACGTCTGCCCTTGGGTCTGAAGCGTGAGTGAGAGCCTTCACCGGCCCAGTCATGTCTGAAAGTGAGTGTTTGTTTTTTTGATTGCAGAATTCATCCCCCAGGCATTTGGAATGCCCTTATCCCAAGTCATTGCAAATGACCGGGCCTATAAACTCAAGCAGGACTCGCAGAGGGACGAGCAGAAGGATGCGTCTGATTTTGTGGCTTCCCTCCTCCCGTTTGGAAGTAAAAGACAAAACAAAGAACTCTCAAGCAGTAACTCATCTCTCAGCTCCACCTCGGAAACGCCAAATGAGTCAACGTCCCCGAACACCCCAGAACCGGCTCCTCGGGCCAGGAGGAGGGTGAGTTGGCCAGTACTTTCTCTGACACCACCGCTAAAACAACCGAAGCATTACAGGGTTATTCTCTGAACCTCTGCTCTTGGGAAAACTGGAAATGGAGTCTAGGGACCTGTCAGTGACCCCATTCGGGGACAGCGTGCCCCGGGCCGTGGGGCACATGACACAGCCTCAAAGTCTTTTTCCGGCCGCTCTCAGAGCTGCTGGGTGCCCCCCTTGGTTCCCCATGTGTGTGCCCCATGATGTCCTGAACATTCTACAACATCACTGTTGACCGTGCTCTAGCTTCATCTTCTGTCCTACCACCAGACTTGCCCTCGAGACTGTGAGGCTGGAGGCCAGGGCCGGGTGGTTTTGTTACTCTCTTCATCTCTAGTCCAAGAACCACGCCTGGCCCCCCAGCCACCTGGCTGCCAGTCCTCGTAAGTGATGAGTTTTTGTTTTGTTTTGTTTTTTTAATCAATGGAGCTTTTTTTTCCACAAGAAACCTACATATATATTGTATATCATATATCTGATATATCATATATCATATATATAGAGAGAGAGAGAAAGGGCACGTATGTCCTCTTTCAAATTAATACTCTAAGAGCACAGTACCATGTATTAAGTGAGTGCTATGTTCTAGGCACTGTGTTATTTCTTATTTCAGATTCCCTGTTTCAATCCAGGAAAGCTGAGTTCTCAGGCAAACTGGTTGGTGATCGGCTGAGTCAATTGATAAGCATCTCTAAAAATTTCCTAAGTCACTGGGAGATCTTCTCTCCATTTCCTCTTGCCTGGAGACCCCAAAATCTTTGCCACCTCCAGCCACTCACTACTGCCCTACTGAAACCCCCCCCCCAAAAAAAACCCAAACACTTCCCACTTAAAATCCACATTCAAGACCTCTCCAAGATAAAGGGGCACCTGAGCCGCCGCTGTTTTTCAAGGCTTTGGCTGTGTTTAAAAGTAGAGAAATGATGACTTTCCAGGATATTTAAATGTATGTGATGGAACTGTTCTTGCAGTCTTATCATCATCTCTCAGACTGCGTGTCCTAAGGCTGTAACACCCAAACTCCACATCTGAGCTCTCTGGGAATCTGGGGCCCAGGCAGCGGGCCTCCCAGATGCCCTCTCCTCTGGCCAGGCCTTGCTAGGATACCAGCAGCGAGCCCCTTCCTCTCTGCTTCATCGGGGGCGGGCGGTGGGGGGGGCTTGGCCGTGTAGACACGGCCGGTGCCCTGCTCCCTTCCACTCGGCCTTTCCCAGTCCCAGCATGCCAGAGCCCTCCTTCTACCTGCCAGCACCTCACCCCTGCCAAGGGCTTTCTCTGATGGCCAGAGGCACCCACCCACGCAGGTGATAGGCTGCAAGTGCCAAGACATTGAACGTCACCTCCTGGCCCCTACCAGAAGTTGCCCTTAATCAATGACTCTTGAGGCTTGTGGTATAAATAGCCCAGCACACTTGCTCCCCAGCACAGTTAGCTCTGAGGTGCTTGACCCACACTGTCTCCCAGAGGTCCCCAGGGTGCTTGGGCACCAGCTGCCCACGGGCTTGTCATAGGCTGGGTGATGCTCTTCATCCGCTGCCCTCCCTTCCTTTTCTCGTTCCCCCACCCCCTACAGCCGTCTCCCGGGACCATGTCCCTGATAAAGTTCTTTGTGCCAGTTCTGGGGGAAACCCAACTAAGACTGTTCCATGGAATCCAATGTTAAAAATCTGCTTCCTAGAGTCATAGTTGAGATGCTTGGTTTTTATTTGCGAGGCTTCTCTGACTTTACCTCATTCATCGAGCATGTATGTGATTTTTTTCTTGTTTCAACAAATGAAGTGGTTGGGTCAAAATATTACAACTCGATGTCCACCCTCTCTCGTCTTCCACTGGCGAATGCTGTTTGTGGAAATTGTGACTGCCATTCCCTTAGCTTGTTGTGGTAGTTTCCTCACTTTTTCAAGAGGCGTTGGCCGTTTTCCTTTTAATGTACGAACAGCGTGATTGAATGAAGTGGCGTTATTTCAAGGGTGACACACAGTCCTGGGCAAAAGCGTTATTGGCTAGCGTGTGAGGGAACTTGCTCTTGTTTTCTCCATCCACGCTCTTTGTTCACGTCTGTGTATGATTTGCAGGGCGCGATGTCAGTGGATTCTATCACAGATCTTGATGACAATCAGTCTCGACTGCTAGAAGCATTACAACTCTCCTTGCCTGCTGAGGCTCAGAGTAAAAAAGAAAAAGCCAGAGATAAGAAACTCAGTCTGAATCCCATTTACAGACAGGTCCCCAGGCTGGTGGACAGCTGCTGTCAGCATCTAGAAAAACATGGTAAGCAGACTTGTCTGGCAGTGATCGAGTATGAGAGACTCTCATTTATTCAAGCTTCATGGATTTAAGCACCCAAGTTCAATGCTTTGTTTGTTTGCTCAGACTCTGGGCTTAAATTTCCTTTGCGAAGAAAGCTTATAGATCTGAGTGGGTGCTTCAGAGAGTACTGGGCTAAACAAGATTGTGGGGGACAAAAATCAACTCGATGGTGTTCAGGCTGCCCAGCACCCAAGGGTCCTCGGATGTGAGCCTGGAGGCCAAGATCTGTTGGGCTGGGTCTGTCCCCAAGCCTCCCTTCAAACAGAGCCCAGCCACTTTTATCTTTTTTATGCATCGATATTACTAGCAAGGCTTCCTTTAAAAAATAAGAGTCCAGCTTCTAAAAAAAAAAAAAGATTTGCAAACATTCCTTAAGTGAATAGAAGAGACGTGGCTTTTGACAACAGCTCTTCTATATTGCTGTTTGCGTTTTTATGGAAAGGTGTCCACTTCAAACTTCTTCATAATGACCCTTTAGCAACTCTATTCCAATTAATGTGCTGACTTCAAAATATACTTCTTTAAAAGTTTTTCTGAAATGTAGACTTTTGGCTCATCAAACTGCCATTTCCATAACCTGAATGTGTTTCCTGTGCTTTTTTACTATAAAATAATACACTCATTGTAATAAAGCAAGAAACACAAAAGCAAAGCAAATTCTGAGGCTATCATGGAGACATAACTACTGTTAATATTCTCATCTAATTTTTTCAGTATAAGTGGGACTGTAAAAAATGATTAAGGAGATATCTAAATATCTTAATCACCAGATAACATATGGATGACTTAACAGAGTTAATATGCATTGAAGGTTTATTTGTCTACACAAAGTTTTTTAAAGATTTATTTATTTGAGAGAGAGAGAGCATGACTGGGGGGAGGGGGAGAGGGAGAGGGAGAGAAACCCAAGCAGACTCCCCACTGAGCCTGGAGCCTGACACGGGGCTCGATCTCACGACCCTGAGATCACAACCTGAGCCAAAACCAAGAGTCGGATGCTCAACCGACTGTGGCACCCAGGCATCCCTCTATACAAAATTTTTATATGTACCTGTGTGTATGTGTGTATCTATCTGTCTCTTCTCCTGGGAAAGCACACTGGGCGTCAAGGAAAATGCCTTAGTCATTTCGAATTCCCAACACTTAGTATCATGATTAATACAATGTAGGTTTTCAATAAATATTACTTGCACGGAATTATTTTTTAAAATAGCTTAGCAATGAAAGTGTTCAGTACTGCGAATATATAAATTCAGCCTAAATTTCACTGTGAGGTAGAAAAAGAGACTCATACTTTTATAATTATAGTTTTTCCCTATAAAGAACGTAGAGAATGAACTGTAAGCAGTTTATGGAGTCCTAAGTGAGAAAATTCTACTCCAATCCTGCAAAAATCCAGTGCCAGGCTGAGTAACTGCTTATGTGAAAGAAAACTTGGTATGTCTTTCTATTTTCCTTTTGAAAATGAATTTTCATGAATTATAATTTGTAAAATAGTATTTCCTTGAAGCTTACTAAAAAACTGGATGGTTCTTTCTTTTTTGGAATGGTTAACATGCAGTGTAGGGCCTAAAAGAAAGAAGATTATCTTTTCAAGGACCTGATTCTGCTCCCGGTTTCCATGGTGTTTAGCTCCAGAAAAATACAAGACATATTCAAATGCAAACGGATATTAATCTTGGTCACTTGAAACCAATGAAAAAGGAGCAAGGCTCAAAAACAATTCTTTCATAAGACTTTATTTGCCTGTTTGGCAAATGGGTAGGAAAGAGTTTGAGTCACTTTAGCCTTATAAACATTTGTTGAAGATCTTTTCATTCCCTCCACAATTGGTCTTGAACAGTTATCTTGACTCTGTCTGTATATAGCACCCTTCCCCACTTACACTTCACCCAGATGCTTTCTGTACTATTAGCTCAAAATTCCTTAAGCATCCTCAATTTCCCAGAAGCACAAATTTAAAAAAACACCACCACCACCAAAACCAGACAACATAGTGGAGACTCAAGCCCTGTTGCATTTCTGGGATTTGGGCTGATTGTAGGGTGGGGCATCCTGCTTATTCTGCCTGCCCTCTTTCCTTGAATTCCCTAAGCCTGAGATCCAAGTGCTCTGGGGTCATGTTTCCATTCCAGTTTCTGACGAAAAGGAGAGAAAGGTGATCGCGTCGATTTCTGGGACAGGCCAGAGCAAAGTCACGTTCCTTTGCCAGGTCAGTGCCTTTTTGGGTGGACGCCTGGTTCTATCAGTGACTGTCTTAAGTCAAGGTTACTAAATGCCTGGACTGTATCTGCTCTTTGAGAAAAATCACCATCTCTCTCTCTTATGTGAGAATGGCATTGGCCTTCTGAAGGCTGTCAGTTGCTCTGCCTAGAAACAAACAAGCAAACAAATACATATTTTAAAAACTTAAAATAGGTTCTAACCAATTGAAATACATAGGAACTATAGCACTTGATCACTAACTCGTTATTTTTTCAATTACAGTCATTTTTGCTGAGCGAAAAAGTACTCTAATTGAGGAGATAATGTCATTGAAATGGGCATTTCTGAAGAGTCTGGAGGGATTCAGGTGAATGAATAGTCCCGCCTGTGTAGGAAATGCCCTTATGATATTTCACTTATGTAGAAAATTCAACTCTTCAGAAGCCATCAGAAACTAAGAAAATAAATGTAGCCAAAATTAAAATTGCTATTATATTACAGTTTTCTCTGTTGTGCAAAGGAGACTCATTCAGTTCAATCAGGGTCTGTTTCTCTCTATATAATAGATGCCAGATATGATTCGAAGAACTCTATATGCCTTAATTAATCGAATCATTGCATAACTATTCAAGCGGATACTCATTATGCTCCTTTTTCAGGTGAAAAAGTATAATTCTGGAATGATTCTAAATAGCTCGATTATCCTGTTCACAAGCTCCCAGAGAGGTAGAAGCAATAGATTAGGCTAGGGGTTGGCCTCACTTGTGAGGAAGACAAACTGAGAGCAGCAACAAGGAAGGTACAGAAGTTTACAGAAAATAGATGCAGAACAAAATCCTACCCAAGGGCAAGCGCCAACATGTGATTATGCAAATCAGCAATAATTAGCCTCTCACCATGATTCTGTCAAATTATTCTGGAAGTTCAGGATACCATTTATAAGATAGAGAACTGATAAATGAGATTTATGGATTTATAATTATATTTATAAATGAGTTTGTAATTATAGATGCTATCTTTTCTAACTAAAAAGCCCTGGAAAACAAACCAAAAAGGGATTATACTTAATACATAAGGTGGCAAGGCCATAAAATAAATATACAAAAGATACCTATTTCTTATATAAGAGCAATAATCAGTTATATACTCTAACAATAAAATAATTCATTCCTATTAATATCAAAAATATACCCAGAATATCTGTAAGAAGAAGCAGGAAACTTCTATAAAGAAGACTGCAAAGTTCTACCAAGAGATCTAAAACATGATTTAAACAAATTAAGATGTTTACGTTGGTTCTGGATGAAAAGAAATAATGCTATAAAGATTGTAATTCTTTCCAATGTGATTATATGTTGTACTAGTCCAAACTCTTTCAGTGGCACGAGAGAGGAACCCAGATAAAATTAGATTAAGCAAAGCACCCCCCGCCAAAAAAATCCTATTTACATACTGCAAGTCTCAGTATTATATCTAAATTCAGGCACAGCTGGATCCAGGATTCAAATGATGCTCGGAGAGCATGAGTCTATTTGCACTTCACTCTCAGGCCAGCTCTCTTCACGTGGCTACAAAATGTCCATTGGTGGCTCCAAACCAGCATCGCCCTCATAACCGATTATCCCAAATGAAGAGAAAATGAGCCGCCGATAAAAAAATAAATGTCGATGATGATCATCAGTGGCGATGATTAATGTCTCGCATAGGAAAAGGAGAGTCATTCAGACATTCTGTGCCCCCTGAAGGAAGGAAGTACATAATACTTCTTAGGAAGTATTCTTGTCTCCCCCCCCCCCCCAAAAAATCAAACCTGAATCAAAGAAAACTCTGGCTCAACTATGTAAAAAGAAAAATACACACACATATACATGGAGAAAAGACTGGATAGAAATAAAACAAAATATTAAGAGTGGTTATTTCTACATCAGGTATTTTTAAGTCTATTATCTTTTACATTTTTCTGCATTTTATAGATTTTCTTTAATAAGTACTTGTTTTAGTTATAATCAGTGAAACAATAAATACCTATTTTTAACATCGATAAAGAGCTAAGAATTCATATAAAATACATGTTTAAGGGTGCCTGGGTGGCTCAGTTGCTAAGCGTCTGCCTTCAGCTCAGGTCATGGTCCCAGGGTCCTGGGATCGAGCCCCGCGTCGGGCTCCCTGCTCGGCGAGAAGCCTGCTTCTCCCTCTCCCACTCCCCCTGCTTGTGTTCCCTCTCTCGCTGTGTCTCTCTGTGTCAAATAAATAAAATTTTTTTTAAAAATGCATGTTTAAGTAATTATTCTGAATGATGAAGAAAATGTTACTTTTTTCATGTGGAGAAGATGCAGAATACATAATATCACATGAAAAGTTTTTCCTCAGAATAGTTTAATGTGATGTGCCCCTGGTGCTTATAGGGCTAAGCTTCAGGCACCTGCAGAGTCTAATGTGGGATAACTGAGCAAGCATTCGTGCACGCTGTTGTGCTGTTACTGTTGTGCATGTTGCTGGCATTCTATGTCCTTGGTGATTTCCTCCAGTTTCGAGCCATGAAACAGGACTGTTGATTTTGTTTGCTTCTTTGCAGGCCTCCAGACGGTGGGGATATTCCGAGTTGGAAGCTCAAAAAAGAGAGTGAGACAAGTAAGTTAAAAGTGAAGCCTATATTGTACATTTCACTTCACTTTCAATTGAATTACCTCCAGCAAAGTTGCAGCTTCTGCAAATTCATTTTGGAGTAGCTCTTCCGTATCCTCCCACCAATTACAGTGTAATGGACTCCCAAGAGGTCAAAGGCAACAAACTGAGAAGCTCAGAAAGGTTGTGATAGAGTTAGGATCAAACCCTTGGAATCAAAATGTTTGGCATGTCCAGCCAAACAAAACTAATTTATAAACCTCTTATTGAAACTTTAAAAGCAGGAGATTCAGAGAGCACCTAATCAGGAAGGGATAATAAATAGAAGACAATTGTTTAACACTTGTTTTTACTAAAATGCAATATGAATGATGCCATTAACGTTCCCTTCATATAAGGTGCTATATTTACAGTTTTACTTTCTCAAAAAGAAATCATTCTTACTACGTTTCCGTGGAACTGCTGACCCCCCCCAACTCATTATTCGTGGGGACCTTGCTTCTTGGTTTCCTTCAGCACTGTGCAACATTCTCACAACAGAAGTTTGATGCTAGACCTTCGGGAATAGGTTCCTGTGAGGGGGCAGGTATTTGTGTTCATGAGGGCTTCACAAAAGGCAAACCTCCCTTTGAAAAAAGAATTCGTTTGTTGGCTAAAAGAAAATTAAAACATGATGTTTCAAGACTGATGAATCACAGACCTGTACCCCTGAAACAAACAATACATTATATGTTAATAAAAAAAAAAAAGTGATGTTTCCTCTGTTGGTCCCAACAGAAAGAAGTAAGAAACTCAGCAACTCAAAAATGAAGCCAAATGAAAATAATTTTTAGTTGATGAAGCTGAAGAAATATTTGTTCATAGAATTGAAACTAACTGAAATAAATGCCTCCTGATACTTCTTTTTTGTCAAGATAAAAGGGGCTTCCCAAAGGAGTCCTTTTTCTGTTTATTTGGTGGATTGCCTTTATTTTCAATAGTCACCTAAGAGACTACGGAACATTTAACATTTGGCCACAGGGCTAGCAAGAAGGAAGATAGCATGATAACATTTTGGGGCCCTCCCGCCTGAGCAGAGCAGCAGAATATTTTCAAAACATTTCCTTATTGATTCCACCCACCAGCTGTGAGCGGAGCCCCTTCACCCACTTCTTTTGAGGCTTGGAGAAATTAAGAGAAATTAAGAAACTTAATTCAAGATCACACAGTTTACTCCCGGTTCAGTTCAAGATCAATGTTAAGCTCAAGATCCCACAATTGAGATTAAGCCTCTTTCCACGGTCCGTTCTTTCTGCTCATGTGTGTGCTCAGGAGAGAAACGTGGCGTGTTTGATGACAGTTGCCTGGAATCAGTGAGCAGTTCAGGACAGTGATGGGCATTCTCATCAGATGGAGAGGTGGCTAGTGGCCGAAATTATCCCTCAGTTATATCTGGATCCACCAAAGGGAAAACCTTGGCATAGAGATTTATTTAAGGGTTTTCCAATCAAAATGTGATTTGTGGTTATTGAGACTTCGATTCCTAGTGTGAAATATGCCCTAACTTACCATTTTATCTTGAACATCACTTCTTAGCACCCTACACTTTTTATTCAGAACAGTTGTCACAATATTAACAGCTAATTAATCGTCTATGGGATTACCAGTTGCTCGCCAGCCTGAGAGCTGGGGGAGGTAGGGACGTTGCCTCTTTGTTCCCTAGTGTACTTTGAGACCCTGTGCCAAGGCCCGGTACGCAGGAAGTTGAATGAATGGGTGAATGAGTAATTGAACCGATAAACTCTTACAGAAGCTTATTGCATAGAGGAGATTCAGGAACTCACGGAATTATTTCTACACTAGAAAACAATACAAAGAAGTTGAGCTGTCGGTCGTGGAAGTCGAGTGTAGAGTTATGACTCCCTTCGTCTTGCTATCGTGTTTTCGTGTTGTCATAAATGCTGACAAACCCAGGATAACGATTAAGTCAGGGAATCCTTTTGGGAATTGTTAATAAGGCTACTTTGACAAATCTAAGACAGCTTTTTTTTTAGTAATTGTCATCTTTCGAGCCTTAGTCACAAAGGGCTTATCAGGGTTTTTAATTTCATCATGTGCAGCAAAAAACCTTGCTTTCTTGTTGAGTATTTCTGTAAAATGTCAAAATTCCAACCTGGTAGGATCACTGACATGCAAAACTGCTGGATGATAGATGAATTCCTCCCTCCCACATTTACCCTTGACCTAACCCCTCAGCTCTTCCTCCCAATCTTCTGGATGTCATTCTTCAGCCCTTCTGCTTGCATCATTAACAGTAAACCTACAGATACATTTATTTAATAATGCATAATATATATATTCATGGCTGGATTGCATAGACTCTGTAGATCACGGCAAAATGTTGTTTTCTTCTCCTTTCCAGTGTCTGTATAAGCTTAAGACCAGATACTGCATGTCCCCACACTTGGTTTGCTGGGCCCTGAACGTTGAGGTATGGTGTCATAAGACTGCCACTTGAACCATTATTTTTCCAGTTACGTGAGGAATTTGACCGTGGGGTCGATGTCTCTCTGGAGGAAGAGCACAGCGTTCACGATGTTGCTGCCTTGCTGAAGGAGTTCCTCAGGGACATGCCGGACCCCCTTCTCACCAGGGAGCTGTACACAGCCTTCATCAATACTCTCTGTGCGTAACACGGCCATTTGCAGGAACACTTCCTGGGATTTCCTGCGATGTCCGACTCACTCGATGAACCTTGTGCATGTGTTTCCCAATAACTTTTTTTGTTGTGGTTCTTATTTATTGGTCTCTAATGAGTGGGATATTTGGGGAATTTTCTGAGATTTACCCTGGGGAGAATTAGCAAGGAGAAAGTTGCCATAAAATAAAGAAGAATTTGGGATGCTTTCAGATGACCCCAGCGCAGTAGAAAGTGCTATAAACTGATGCTTTGGAGGAACAGCAAGAGTTCACATTGAGTCTGTGCCTCAGAATGAGTTTGCGTTTCTGGTTACGCGGAAGGAGGGAGCCACGGGAACCCAGAGTGAGAAAAGGGGGCAGGCAACATTCCAGGGAAAGCAGGATGACATAGCCCAGTGGCAGGGCTTTCAATATGGCTGCTCCAGGGCCATAGACCCAGATGGCATGGAGGAGAAAAGGAGGACGAGGGGAGGAGAAACAGGCCAGAGCTGTGACAGCCTCCATATTTTTCTTCCTCCAGTGCCACAGTTAAAACAGGATCACGGAAGAGAGTGAAGACACTGTCATTGTGCCGTGTCTTTGGTTATTGCCAACAAAAAGTCAATTCCTTGTGGATTGCTCAACAGAAAAGGGCCTCAAATCTGCTATAAACTCAACTTTTAGAATGTTCACCAACTCCCAGTCATTGTTAGTAAATATTTACAGAAGATGAAAGACTGCAATCCACAAAGTAAATGATGAGTAATGCCAGGGAAGGGAGGGAGAAGCAAGTAAGGGAAATTAAGCTACCTTTCTCCCCGGGATGATAATGTTCGCTCTAGATGTTTCATTTCCCCAGGGCGACTTTATCTTTATGTCCGTCACAGAGCCTTTCGCTAAGTTGCTAAGCCAATGGGAGAATGGTTGGAGTGGAATGTGGCTGGCCTGGCTAATCCCTTTCTGAAAGGGGTGGAGAGGAGCCTCTTCTCAGAACCTGAATGGTGGGCGTTCCCCCTTTAACTTAACTCAGAATGCCTCCTTTTGCCTTGCTTAGTGCTGGAACCAGAGGAACAACTGGGCACCTTGCAGCTCCTCATCTACCTTCTACCTCCCTGTAACTGCGACACCCTCCACCGCCTCCTGCAGTTCCTCTCCATGGTGGCCAGGCATGCCAATGACAACGTCAGCAAGGATGGGCAAGAGGTATGATGCGCCCCCCGCGGCCCTAGATGCTGTGACTCCTCCTTTTTCCCCCGGTTGTAGAAGAGTGGGCCATCAATTTGATGAGCTGTTTCACCTGGAGGAAATGACACCTGCCCTTTCCTGACCCAGCTATTGATGTCAAAAGAGAACTAGTGCAGGCCTTTCTCGGGAGGGACAATTCCTAAGAGCACATAGGCTATTAACGTCCTGTGTTGCCAGAATGCTTCTAAACAAGGCTGTCATTTTCCCTGATGATGCTTTACGCAAGACCTTGAATTTCCATTTGTGTGAAGAAGACGAGCAATGAGCTCCGGAGGGGTTTACAATCATGAAAAAATGGAGTAATGGGGGTGGGGGGAGATTGCTGTCCTTGTCATTAATTTGATTTGCTTCCTTAACTTGGAGCCCAAATGTGATGTCACCTCGTTATGCTTCCTGTTTGTCCCTCAAGCTCCCATCTGCCCTATAGCTAGAAGTCTAGTCTCCTCCTTTTGAGAGGTCCTTTCTCTCCTTAAACCACTCCCCCAAAATCGACTGGCTTAAAGCCATGGAGAGTCAGTCCCACTTCCAAACCAGGTGGAGAAGGAACCAGAAGGAACTAGAAGGTCTGATCTGCTATCGCCATGCATCTGGATGCCACAGGGGGTCGGCTACTGGACAGATTCTGCACAGTCCCATGGGCCCTCCTGGGATGTTCTCGTTGAACCTGGTCCCCACTCGGGCCCTAGGGTGACCCCACCCCCTGGCCATCTGAGGTCCTGGGCTCCATTTCTCTTTGGTCACACCCATATGCTTCAAGGTAGTTTTTGGTTTCACCCTTGGACAAAGGAGATGCTGGCCTCAATTTTAGGTGACCAATCAACAAGCAACCTATTTAATCTTCACCTTAACAAGAGCTCTGTTTCCCTTTTTGATACGATGCAGTCAGAATGCAGATGCATTCTCCTTGACCTTGGATTCCCCAGGTGATCTCAGACCCTTTCCTGTGCTAACACTCATTATAAATCAAACACAAAGAGGCCAAAGGCATTCCAAACTTATTCACCACAGAAACTTTTCTTTTAAATCCTTGTTAAGCAGAGCTCAGCCCTATGGTGGATTCAGTTCTGTATTTATCAAATTTCTTTCCTAAAAATCCTGGTCATGTATTTTTTTTTTTTCTTTCACTTTAATCCAGAAAGGCAGTTCTGCATTTCTCATCGTCATCCTCGCTATTGGTGTGAGAATGGAACTTTCCTGAATTAGCCATGTGTCTCTATCGTACTTATAATTAGTGAAACCTCGCTGGCTTCAGGCTTCATAATACGGTCCTGACACCTTATTTTAGCAGACGCAGCTCTCCCAGGGATATGCTGTAATTCTCATAATTGTTAAGTAGTTGTATTCCCCGTCTGGGTGTCATCCTTTATCAGCTGCAGATAACAGCACGAGCTGTAGAATCATCTGCCTAACCACTGGGTACAGGCAGAGCCCTGACTGCGATCCTAGGCACGCCAACTGCTTCTCAGATGCTTCTGGAGTAAGATGTGAACAGGCGGTCGGCTCTTAGGGGACTGAGAAGGCATCGAGGAAAGCAGGAAGTCCAACTGAAGCCACTCTTGCTTTTTTAGAATCGTTTTCAGACACTCTTTCAGTCCAAATGCTGAACGAGACTCCATCACCTACGCCGAGACGAAGAAAATATTCCTGGATGGGTGCAAATGCCGCTTGGCCTGCTGACACACTTGCTGTCATCTGTCTCTCTCCGACCTCGTGCTGGCTGCATGCCAGAGGCTTCACACATTAGTCAGTCCTCCACTGCACAAGGCAGCTGCCGCTGCCCCCATGTTTCAGAGGTGGAAACTGAGGCCTGGAGGGGTTAAGTAACTCACCCAGTGTCCCACAGGGAGCTCCACGTGCACAAGCTGTGCATTTGTGCATTTCACAACTCTGGGGGAGGCGCGATGGACCCCATGGGCACTGTAGATTTGCGGAGGGAGCCGGACAATATCCCAGGAGATGGCAGGAGAATATGTTGAGGGAGGGGCTCCGTGGTCGGGGCCATCCAGTGACCAGTAAAGTCGCAGCTGTGGCTCAAATCCAAACCGGTCTAGCTTCCTAAGAGCAGAAATCTAAACTAGGAATTAGGGAAAAAACCCCATGGGGGAGTCTAGTTGAGGGTTTTCCAGCCTCCATATCATTGATATTTGGGACCAGGTAATTGTAGGGGTTGCCCTGTGCATTCTGGGATGCTTTAGCAGCATCCCGGGCCTTTACTAAACACTTGATATCGGTAGCAGCTCCCCACCGTGCCCCGGTTGTGACAACCAAAAGCATCTCTGGACATTACTGAGGCCCCTGTGAGGGGTGGGAGGCGGGGCAGAGTCACCCCTGGTTGAGAGCACTCGGTAGCTTTATAACTAATTGACCATGTGTTCTTGGAGAAATCTGTTCACCTTCCTAAACCTGAGCTTCCTTATCTGAACTTGGGGGATACAGTTTCTTCACCCGGCACTGCACGGGGGTTGAGAAGACTAGTTTACACTAAGGAATATGAAGATATCCTGGGGACAGCAAAGTTGCACAGGGAAGCAAGAGTTAGCGAGGGTTTCTAGACACTCCCGACCTAAACCTTGAGTCAAGAGGAAGGACTAGTGACCAAACGTCAAAGCAGCAGGGCGGAGAGGGGAGAGGGTTGCTTCTGTGAAATGGTCGCCCACGCCGCCGTCTGAGGTTGGAGTGAAGGCTATGGAGTGGGAAGGCCCCAAGGAGGTACGAGGGGAAATAGGCTGTGTTCATAGAGTGCTGAATGCCTTCGTAAGGGGGTAGGTGCTGCATTCTTTTAAGCCCTGAATGTTTGGAAGGATTCCACTGAGGCAGTGTCGCCCACGCTGTAGACTGGTTAGAGGCACGGAGGGAGAGAGTTGGGAAGCTTCTGTATGAATTGCAATGTGCAGAAGAGCAGTTCACATTGTCGGAGTCTCCGTGGAGCAGTGGCCTTGGTATTTGAATCACGGACATCCTGAGCTCCTATCTGAGTGTTGTTCAGAAGTGGTCTAATTACTGTTCCTGGGGTGCTGCGGCCTCTAGGAGGTGGAGGAGGTGAGGACACGAGGCAAGTGTAGACTTCGGGGAGGCAGTGCGGAGTCACCCCAGAGCTTCGGGGAAAAGGTGGTGAACACGGGCCAGACAAGGTAGGAGTGGCTTCACGGAGAAGACTGAATTTAAAGCGCACACGAGCAGATGCGTAGGGCTTGAGTGGATGGAACACGTAAGCTCTGTGCGGGGATGGGGGTTAGCTGAAAGCCCCTCTGGCCGAAGTTCAGAGTGGAGGGAGAGGAACTAGAGGGCGTTTGCCGAATATTTTGTTGGTGGTGGTTTGGCCCGAGCACGTAGAAGATACAGGATGGGCGCACTGCAGGTGAGGCCAGAATCCAACTGTCAGTTTGTTGGTCGGGGTTAGATGTGTCCGGTCTCTGCTGGGTGGTTGTTAAGGTTTGGAACGTGAAGAAATGGAGCCAGAGCATCAAGGAGCTTGGAGGCTTGCACACGCTCCGCCGGCACCTTGCTGCATGACCTTGTTTCTATAAAATAGAGGAAGAGGGAAGAGAACAGAGTTAGCGGAGGGGGGAGGTCTGAGCTCCCTCCTCTATGAAATGAGCATAGTATTTCCTTTCTAATTGGCCCTTACAGTTTACTGCATCATTAACTAATAGGATTGTCACGATTTTGAAAAGAAGGGCATGAGAAAATTTGTTGGCTGGTCAATCAGTGCTTTTCTGGGGAAAAAAAATAATGATATTTTATTAAAGTATGGTGTTTCGCTATCTGTGTTTGCTTTGTTTTATTCCATTTTATTTGCTTTGCTCCTCGGGAAAAAGAGAAATTCCCAAAGGGAAGAACAATTTCCTTTCTTCTAGAAAGAATATTGCAGGAGCATAATTGAAACCTCTTGAGCCGTGGTTTTTCAGGTTGTCCAAGAACGCTCGGGTATTGCATGGAAAATGTGATGTGGATGTGCACTTTCTTGGTGAGAGAGTCCGTAGCCGGCCTTCAGTTCTTCAAAGAGTCTACGAGGCAGAAGAAATGGAGCACTGGGTATTATATGAAAACAATGAATCGTGGATCACTACATCAAAAACTAATGACGTATTGTATGGTGACTAACATAACATAAAAAAAAAAAAAAAAAGACATTACGAGCCACCAGTATAAAGCCGGGATTACCGATCTCTGAGGAGGTGCATACCTCCAGGAAGTGGGGGGTTCGCTTTGGAACTGGAGCAGGACCAGTGCCTCGCTGTCCTCACCCCAATCCCGGCCCTGCTTTAAAGTTTAGCTTTCCCACTGCCCCGGGCTGTGACCCGTGGGAGGGGTAGGGTCATGAGGAAGATACAGGCTGGCTTCTCGGCTCCACCCCACTCCTGGCTACGGGCTCTGGGCATCACTTCCCTGTTTTGTAAAAAAAAAAAAAAGGACAACGCCCAGCTGCTTCATGAGCTTATAGTGTGAAAGAACTGAAACAGCCTGTGGAAAGTTCCTAGTCCGGTGACTGTACATGCTAGACTGGTGATAAATGTGAGCGATTCCTATTAGGTATAGAGAGGATCTAGGATGCTTATTTAGTGAAGATAAAAATCATTCCTTTAGTTGGCTGGCTAGTAATGAACTCGTGAGCTGCCCCCAAGGGCACGTGTTGTTACTTAGACACGTGTGGACTTAGGTGCAGCACAGGCTGCAGGGGTGGACGCTGCCGCGAGCAAGTCTCCTTTCCGGTCTCAAACGCAGTAAAACAAGAACAAATCACAACATAACACAAAAGCGCTCACGAAGCCCAGCAGGATGGTCTGCAGCTGGAATCTATGTGCCATTTTACGGACGGATTGCATTGCGCTCCCAGAATAGCAACAGGCGAAGGAGGGAACGGATACAGAGTTCTGGGCTGTCCTTGTGCTAAACATTCTTTTAAAAGAAAACAAAATCTCCTATTTGTTAATGTTAAAATAAAAATGGGAAAACCCTGATACGACTTTCAGGGGGTAAGGGGAAGCACTCCAAATGCCTGAGTTCCAAAGGGATGCATTTGAAGATGACACATAGTTGATCTAATCTCAGCCGTAAATTTCCAGGAAGAGAAAGGAAAAATCAAATAAAAAAATGTCAAATTTTATGTCAGTGAAGTAAAACGAAGGAAAAAAAATAATCGAACAGTCATACATATAAAGAGTCCTTCCGTGAAAATGCCCAGTGTTTACCATGTGAAAGCATTTCACTTGGCAGGAGGCCTGAAAACAGGCTCACGTTCTAAAAATAGCACCCGCCGTGTGCCATGCTGGGACCGGGTGGCCACCAGCTCAGGGCTCCGCAGGACAAGGGTGGGACCAGGCGTCTTTCTCGTGGCTGTGAATCAGGACTCTTGAATTCTGTGCTGGGCACCCAGGTGCCTCTCAAAGGCTGTGCACATCTTCCCAGACCAAGGAGCCCCACTAAGCAGCCACAGTCCCCATACGTATCCCTGTGTTCCTAGAGTTTCAACTAATACCGACAAGAGAAAGAAAATTTTGCCTAGCCCAGTGGTTCTCAACCAGGGGCAGTTTTGCCCACAGGGGACACATGGCAATGGCCCTTGCCTGCCTTTCCTGCAGAACCCTCTGCCACACGGTGCCTGGATGTATTTTACGTGTTTTTGTTTTTGCATAGGGTGTTCTTCCCACTGTCAAATCATCCCTTGCCTCAGCTCCTCTGCTTTTCAGCCTAACAAACACTGTTCTTCCTTCATGGTTTTGTGCAAATGTTGCCACATCTTTGAAGTGTCCCTGGGGCCTCCAGAGTTGATAGCTTCATACTTTGTACTCACTCCTTAGAATTAGTATGTTTATTTACCCCCTAGAAAGTGAATTCTTTAAAATAAGGACTGTACTATGGTCATTGTTGGAAAAATTTTAAATAATTCAAATCCACGAAAATGGTGTAGCCTGTGGTAGGCCCTGAATGGGTGATTTAATATAGGGATGATGGATTGATAGATTTAGGGATAGATGTAGGGCTGGCTGGCTGGCTTGGATGGATGGACGAGTGGTTGGTTGGATGGATGAATGGATGGATGGATGGACATCAGTATTTTTGTTGTTGTTGTTATTTTTATTTATTTATTTATTTTATTTATTTATTTTTTGACATCAGTATTTTTTAAAAGCAGACAGGGTAGACATTTTATATAGTACCAGTTCCACAATGAATAACTTACAGATGTAAAATTGTACTTAATATGCTATCGAAATGACCGCTAAGCTATGAGAGTCAATCCAAGATATGGAGCAAAAGGAAAACGACAGTGCTCCTCACAGATTCTGCCAGAGGTGATATTGTCCTTGCAGGGGAAAAAAAAAAAAAAAAAGGAAAAAGGTCCCTTTGATTATTGATCCACCCAGCAGTTTGAAAAGCAGAAATAACCCCAATCCTTGTGTTGTCTGCTCCTACAGGTCACTGGGAACAAAATGACCTCTCTAAACTTGGCCACCATATTTGGACCCAACCTGCTGCACAAGCAGAAATCGTCAGACAAAGAATTCTCCGTCCAGAGCTCAGCCCGGGCTGAGGAAAGCACGGCCATCATTGCTGTGGTGCAGAAAATGATTGAAAATTATGAAGCCTTGTTCATGGTAAGTGGCTCTTCTTAGGCAGGACACCTCAGTAAGCTGCCTCGTGATGCTCTCGGGCTGCATGCGGAAGCTCACACACACCATCTCTGGCCCGCGGCGCCTGTCATTGCCCGAATTTATTGCAAGCCAGGCAGTTTCAATAGAACTAGAAATGTCCAGAGCTCTGATGTCACTGGAAGTTTGTGATCCCATGTTTAAACAAACATATCCCACTTGTAAATTGCATTTTGTTGTCCCCTAAACCACGGTCACATTTTGGAGTCCTTTCATTGTTCAGATAGTGCAGTCCTTGCTCAAAATATTGCTGGCACCCTTCTTTGGGGAGTTATATGTGGCCCTCCTGAATTCATGCAATTCATAACCATCCCCATCAATGGCACCTCCTCCAAGGTCAATCTTGACGTCTTACCTCTTCCATGAAGCTGAAGCTTCACCTCTCTCTCCCATGTCCTTCTCATGTCACTTCTCTGTCCCTTTAACCCCATCACTGTTCTTATTGATGTTTATCTTACTCAACATTGTGTTACGGTCATTTATGACTATTTCCCTTAGTAGTTTATAAATGCATCTGAAACACGGGCTGTGCCCTTGTTATCTTCTCCCTATATCCTCTGTACGCTTTTGGAAGGCCCTCCATCTGGCAGGCACTCAATAAATATTTTTTTTTTATTTGTATTGAATTGCCAGTTCCTGTTTTCTTTCAAAAAACTGCACTGCTTGCTCCAACTTCCCTTGAAACATTAGAACAGATGCCAAGTCTCTTCTATTTCTGTTCACCGCTCATATTGCATGTCAGAATTTACAGGAACTTTCTCCATGTTTCCTCTCCCATTTCTCCTGTCAATTTGCAAATGCTCACCACAAATCTCACCCTGTTCCACTAGAGCCTTGTGTGGTTCTTCCCCCAAGTGTGTTAGTTCCCTCTTCCGCATCTCCTTAGTATTTTGTCTACATTTATCAAGTGCCTTGCATCAGATTTCTTTCCACGCTTGTCTCTCACCGACGATATTTTTGTAAATTTGAGAGCCATTGCTTTAGACTCTTTGCCCTCTGCGTCTTGCCTGTGTGATCGTGCCCAAGTAATTCAGCACTCAACAAGCATCGATTTCGGCTTCCGTGAAAAGGGAAGGTTAAAAGTACGCCCTATTTCCCAGGGTGGTTCCCAGAATCATGAGCTATGTGCAAGCGTTCTGCAGGCTGTAAAAGTCTATGTAAATGTTAATTAATAATCTTGTTAGTTGAGCAGCATGAGCTGGCCCAAATCTCAGTACTTCGGCACACCAGACATAAATATCTTGTTGATGTAAAGTGTAATCAGATGTTTGTCAGACAGCTTTGCAGCTAACGATTTAGAGACTTGAGCTCCTTGCGTCTTGAGATCTGCAATCCCCCAGGATTTTATGGGTCAAACCTAGAAGGACCATCCATCACGCCCGCTCAAATTGCATTGCACAAGCCATGCTTAACTACCAGGGAAGCTGGGAAACGGATTCCTGCTGGATGCCCAGGAAGAAGAGAAAATGGATTTACACACAGTGAACAGTTCACTGGGGTAGAACGGTGTCTTGCTCCTCCTTGAGTCTCTGAAGCGCTATCCCTGTTTGCAAACAAGGAGCTCTCAAAAAATGTGGAATTAGTCATTGTCACACTTCAGCCAAAACCCTCATAATTAATTACATATTAGGATGAATCAAGTAACTGAACTTTTCAACATTTTCTTCAAGTTTTAAGTCACATGTCATCTTGCCAAGCAGTCTTAGCATGACTTCATGCTCTCTGGATTTTTTTTTTTTTTTTAACAAAATAATACCTCTCACAAATCTTAATTCCGTTCTCTAAATTCTGTATTCTAAGCAAAGTTCTTTAGATGAAACCACAAACCATCAGGCATTTCTTTTCCACTCGGATACTAACACAGCCCTTCCTGGCCACCATTTCCTGCCGCCCGGACTACAGAAAACAGCAGAAGAATGTCAGTCCTTCGGTTCCACCTTTCCCAGCATTTTCCAGACACGCTTTTCGCTTGCTCTTCTCGGGAGACATTGATGTCCAGGGTCTCTGGAGTAGAAGTTCGTATTTGTGCTCGCCGGTTGTGGTCTTTACTTCTCAGTGAGACCTTTCCTGGCCACCTTGTCTAAAATACAGCACCCCCCCCACCCCCACGTGCACACACCGTCGCTTCCTGTTCCCTCTCGCTGCCTTTTCTCCGTGGCACTCATCACTACGAATACAAGGTTTTACTAAGTTCTCCAGTTTGTTGTGTGTTTCCCCACTGGAGCGCAGACTCCACGACAGGATGAACTTGTGTCCGTTTCCATCTACTTTCTTTACTGCATTCCTCCTGTGCCTGGCACGTGGCAGAAACACAAGAAACACTGGTTGAATTAATGAATGACTTGGTGGTAGTTCTGGAACATATGATTTCTGTATTGTTAATCTTTACTCGTTATACATATGAACAGGTTTAGATGTGGAGGAATTAAGGATACCTTTCCAGAGTAAGTTAAAATTAATATGAGCATTCTTGATTTCCTTAGACAGACGATGGGAATTATGTGTTGAGGAATAAAAAGGGAGGAGAGGTGAGACGAAGATCCCCAGCCGAGGTCAGTAAAAAGCAAACTGGCTCTGGATTCAGAAAGCTTTGCTCTAGTCCTTTCTTTGCTCCACTTCAGCTTTGTGACCTCACCTTCTGAGATGTCTACTTCTTTAGTTATCAGAGGACGAGGTTAGAATGAATAAAAACCAAGATCCCTCCTAGTTCTAAAATCTACACGCTCCTGTGCCCTGGCCCTGACTTGACTTCTTTTATTTCTATAAAGCACAAAAGAAAATGAACCTCGTCACTGGCAGGTCCTCTTGGCATATTTGGCATTTCAGGACCTCGTTGATTATCCTAAGCTGCTGACTGGTTGGCAAAGCTGGTCTGCGTGGGTGGACAAAAATTCGGTCATGTATGTCGCTGTTTCGTTTTGTTTCTTAAAGAAGCTTTCAGAATGAGCACAATAATTCCAAACAAGGACGGCCGAAGCCCGATGGTAAAAGATTGTTAGCCATTGTGCTGTTTCAGGCTTTTGGAGGGGTTGATGAGCTCAGAAAGGGAGGCCTTGCTCCCCATTGGCATTAGAAAGGAAGACTTGTTGGGAAAGGTGGCAGAACGGATGGAAGGGTCATACAAACCCACAGAGGCCTGGTGACCACCCAGCGTTTGTTCTGAGGGTTAATAATGTCCTTCATGTCCTGATGTTGAGACCGCCTCTCCCATGGGGGAGAGGCATCTGCGTTAGTGAGAGAGGGCTGAAAAGAACCTGGCTTTGTCCCACCATGCAGGCGAGGGACCTACATTCAGAGGCTGGCGCAGGCTTCGAGAGGCTGGCTAGGACAGGCTTTCACACCGGTTGTTTGCTTTTCAGCCACTGGGTGGGAAATTCTTGAGCTGGAGAGAGGTCCTGGTAACAGCCATCGTGATCCCTCTCTCAAAAACCGAGGCAGCAGATTGTGCCAGTCGCTCTCAAACTGGAGCGTGCCCCAGAGTGGCGAGGACAGTTGCCAAACATTCCGATTCCCGGGCCGTGCTCCAGAAAATCAGTTGGAGTAGCGCTGGGATGGGGCCTGGGAATCCGCACTTGCTAACGAATGCCTCCTGGGCATTCTGGTCCTTTCCGAACCACACCCTGGGAAACCACATCTTGGGAAACCCCCAAGGTGCAGGAAAGACCAGGAGCTTTGGAACGAGCTACCAGAATTCACATCCTTACTCGGCCATGCATTCGCTACGTGATCCTGGGCCCATGCTCAACTTCACTGAGCCTTTCGGTTTCCTGTTGTACAAAAATGATATGAGGTTACCTCCCTTATAGGATCATTTTGATAATTAGAAATGACATTTTAAGATACCTGGGACAAGAACCGACATATACTGGGCACACAAAAAAGAAAAGATCGATCCTGTTACTATGGGAAATGGATAAGATGCCGCCCTATCCCAGCACTTTCAAAGGTGTCCCTTGTGTGGGGAAGCGCACCGGACCCACTCTGCAGAACAGTGTGAGCTGCACCCACACATCCACACTCCTCCCTTACCTGGCTCTTCTTTTTTCCATAGCACCTCTCACCTTTGAACTCACTGTGTAATATGCTTATCTATGATGCTTATTGAAACCTAATAGAATGCAAACTTTCCAAAGACAGGGATTTTCATTTGGCTTACAGTTCACTGACATCCCGAAAAGCAAACGGGTGCCCAGTAATGATTTGCTGAAATGCATTTGTGTTTGTGTTTGGTTCAGTGCCCATACCCCTTCGACTCCCTCACCTTTAACAGTATCTCTGCTAGCAACAGTTGAAAAACTGGGTAACATAAAATGGTATGCTCTGGGAACGCTGCAAATAAAAGAGAAGGCTCGTGCCTATCTAGAAACGCTCACTGGTATCATTGTAAGGTAGAAAGCATTCCCCCACGAAATCGTTAGCGTGCACATTGTTCCAAAAGCTGTTGCTTCCATCACTGATCTGGCAGTCCCATCCAGGAAGACTCATTGTTACTCCTGGAATTAATAAGAGCTTCAGAGCAGAGTGGAGAAAACTTGTCAGGTCATTCTGAGGGCTGATACTAAATGATTCCTACCAGGGCTCCTTTTTTGGAGAGAGGGAAAGAAGAGAAGGCACCACCCTTCCAGGCTGATGAACAGTCCGGGGTGCAGTGGAGACGTGGGAACACCGGCGCGCTCCCAGCCCGCCAGTTCGTCAGCCTGAGCTGGGGACCAGCACCGCGCACATGGGAATTTTCAACTGAGAACCACTGGGAGCAAGGGTCAGTGGCCGACGTGAGGATTCCAAGCTTTGCTTCGTGTTCCCTTCATTCCCTGATGCAAATTGCAGTTTCTTAAAACGGCTTTTGCATGCCAAATCAAAAGCAGTCAAGTCATGATCCAGGTCATCAAACAAGGAAGAGCCCTTACCAACACAGCCAAATAATTATATATGATGTCCATTTCCTT